ACACAGGTCTTCAGGCTCCAAAGCTTTGCAGCTTGGCCCCTTCTTCTGTGGTGAATTCAAACTCAGCACCAGATGGAAGATGAATGAAAGACAGCTCTATGACAGATCTGTGACTATTTATTCTTTACAGTGATCTAAGCTAATGTAGCTAGACAGGTACAGCCTGAGTGGTTTAAAAGTTTTCACTGTGTATTTAAATATACATTTCTTGAGGAGATAGAGTTCTCCAAACTGCAAGCTAAATCTGTGCATGACAGCTTTAATGTCTTTTTTTTTCTCCACTGTATTGCATGTAAAAGATTATTCCATTGTTATCAGAGCTATGTGGTTTCTCTGAAAGTACGTAAGAGGTACTAAGTGATATGAGAGCAACAATCTCACTTGATTGCATATTCTATCTACAAGCACCTCTTGTTGGCTCCAGAAAAATATTCTAAGATGCTGCTACCCAGCCTGGGCCCTTAGCCTCTTGCTGCAGTGCCCGTCAGAAATCATTAGCTACTGATCTCTTTGACTAATGTTGCAGTTGATTGTCTGATTTATGGTCAAGTTCTGTAAATGAGACAGAGGCATCTTCACTGCCCACCAGCTGTGAAATGAGTAAACACAGTTAGATTTTCAGAAATCAAAATATATTTCTAATAAAGTTTGATGACAGTATCAAGTGCAAGCTGAGAGCAAAACTATGTTTTTGTGTTTTTTAAAGTTACAGTACTCTACACCAGCATCAGCCTGTCACATTTTTGGCAGAGTAATATATTTTAGCAAAATGATAAAATATGGGTAGTAGCCTAAATCTTCTGCTGACTTGGGCAGACATTCTTTATTCCTCATAAATTCATACTATAAATTTTTACACTTTTGTCCATTATCCCCATATGTTCATATAAAGGTTTAGCATAGACTACTTTCTTTTGTTTGTGTGCTCAGTATGTGCCAATGAGATGTATATGTTTAAAAGGAATACAGATGTAATAACAATAAAAAACAAAATGTGAGTTTTGGGATGGTGGAGGGGGTCAATATATGTGTTTTATATAAATAAGATAAACCCAGGAGGTTTGGAATGGCATAATACTTAGATAACTGAGAAGCAAATCCAGGACCGAGATCCGACTAACATTTTTCGTGGCAAAGAAGGTAAACATGACATTCACCCCTACCTAAAGAATTATTCCAAGAGCTGTGTACCAAGTATGCTCTAGTTTAAGGATTTAGGCAGTGGTAGTTATTTGCTGTGTTTTTCACACTTTAACAAATTGTAGCCACAGCAGACTTGCAAGGACAGGGAGAGATACAGCATGTTTTGTAAACAAGTATGGTGTTCCCACAGTAGCAATCCTTCTTCCAGATGCAACCGCATCCAGCTTGTAGTGCTAAAAAAAAAAGGGGGGGGGGGAAGGAATCTTTAAATCTTTACAATGCCTTTTCAAGTTTTGTATTCCCATTCCAGATCAATAAAAAGCTTCCACTTCTTTTCCCATGCACCAAAACAAAATTGGTTATTGTTTAGGAAAATTATCTGTGATGTGGAAGACAAAGTTGAAATCTTCACCCCACCATCCTTCCTACAGGAATAAGAACAAGTGATCAAAACCCACTAATCACTTTACTGGTTTTTAGCTAGTATTTCTACTGTGGACCTGCAAAAAATAAGAAGTTTCAGACAGTCAGTGTATTTGGTCATGTAGGGCCAAAAAGTAATTTGTGACCCAATTCAGTGCAGCGTTTATGTTTTTCTTCAATCTTACCACACATTTTATTTGTAGAGGTAGAACAGTATGACCATGATTTTAATTTGTTCAACTGCATGTGCTATGATCTTTTTTCCACTAGTTTCTAGGAGTATCAAACTCTCTTTGAGACAGTATGGAAATTTGGTACAGGATAAATTTGATATATCCATTTGCTCCTCAGAACTTTGGGGATATAATAAAATTTAAAAAAACCACACACACGTTGAACTTTCTGTAACTCTAAAAATTTTAAATCTCTGTTTTTTTTTGAAAATGAAGTTTAATTAAATTCATATAAATCTGAAACCTGCTCTTTAATGAACATTGCCAGCGCAGAGTATCTTATATATTACTATTCATTATCTCCTTGCACAATGTTTTATAATACTGTTTAGATTTCTTTCACATGAGGAAGATCTTTCACCCAGATCACATTTTAATGTACAATATTTACTGTGAAATGCTGGAACAGAAACACGTTCTTCTAATAAGTAGGTTTCTTCCTGTGTTCTAAATGATTTTTTCCACTCTTTTATTTATGATACCTGTATTCTTTAAGACCATAAATGCAGAAAAAACTGCACATTCACTGTGCCTGTTGTGTAGGAGTCTTCACCATTAATGATTGACATTTCACCTCTTTACTGTGTATCCCTGTACTCTGCATATATTGCTCCGAAAATATATTAAAGACCTGTTTCTGAGGTGCTAAAGGGAGAGCAACTTCCAAATTCATTTGATCTGACCAGACTGGGTGCTCCCAATACTTTTGCATTTGTTAGATGTCCTATAGATCACTGGCCCAGCCATGCCCACTCAGGTTGTATTCTCTCACACGTGTCATTTCTTATATGATATTCACAGGAACCCAGAAAGATAGCTTGGTTGCTAGTATCTCATGGAAATGCATTGTTTTCATCTCTATCTGTCGTTTTCAGGCTGCTTGAAGATTCTGGCAGAGATCGCTGCATTAATTTCACTTGATTTACAAACATAAAAGCAATATAATTTTTCATATTAAGTGGAAAGCGCAGTTGTGCTATAATTGGAAGAAGTGGGTTGATTCCTGTAATGCTGACATGTTAAACTAGCTTTTTACCCTGCACTACCTCTGGCTGTTTTGCCATGCTGAATGTTGAAGGTGAGGAGTAGGAGAGGAGACCCGTTTTCACATAAAGGGGTACTAGGCAGTTGTAGTATGTACATGGCTCCTTTCCATGACAAACCTGCCCCTTTCATTGGCCTGTACATGGCACCTGAAACTCGAGATGCAGACATGAAGAGTATAATTTCTATTTTGATTTATCAAACTTTTCTTCTTTTCATATATGTGATTTAATTATTTTTGGTTTCACTATTGCTTAGAACAGAGTGCCCGCTTTGTGTAGTACCGTAGTAACGTGGGACCAAAATGAGAGCTGTTGACCAAAATGGATGAGTGGTTGTAGCAGGGATGTAGGGACCAACAGTCAGTTTCTCTGGCTTCGTTTTCATCTGTGCTTTTTAGGCTTTGTGAGGAAAACTACAGCAGCTTAAGCCTTAGGCATCCAAGTAACTGTTCTGTGCTAGACGGTAGCCACTAGAGGCCTTGTTTCCTAATTTAATATTGCAGAGGCTGGTTTAAAGTAGGAGTGATTGTCAGTCTGGTGCATATAATTTTTAGAACCTTTTGATGCTGTCATGGCAAGCTTTCTAATAAGGGCACAAATACTACGAAAAGCACTGTAGGTGGTTTGAGCTAACCAGAAAAGCAAGAACTAAATGGAAAACCCAGAAATGTCTCCTGTGTGTGACTGTTACCAATCTGGACTATTAGAAAGACATACTGCAGGCCTTGACAACTTTGCATAGGCATTCAGTTTAGGGAGAGTTCTGAACTGATGTGACAAGTTCTTAACAGTAGTGTCCGCGTTCTCTTTTTGTCATATCACATGCATCGATAACTCAATTGCCAATGACCTTCAAATATAGGATTCAATACCGATGTACATGAAAACAAAATTCTGTCAAGGAAATACTTGGGAGAAGGTAAACACTGCTGTGTGTACAGTAATCACTTGCTTTTATGCTCACAGAGATAAAATAACTCAAAAATAAGAGCATTGTCCAGAGATGCTCATGTGTGCAGTCAGAGTCTTTCAGAAGCTGAGAAATCTGAGTTGTGGGAACAGTAGTAGGAAGGGTGGTCTTGGTAGCATTAGCAGGCACAGGTTGTCTCCTTTAGAACCATGTGCTTTGCCAGTGACGGGGGATGCAGTCTTAATCCAAAATGCCCTACCCTTTGCCTCAGGATAAGCAGGCGTCCTGCGGCCTGCAGGGTACTGTCAGCTGTCCCTATGCATTCCCCACCCCCCTTCAAAGCTGGTAAGCGACATTCACTACTCCTTTCTTGGAAATGTGCAAAAAGGATTTCTATAGATAGTCTTTGGAGATTTCCTGTGTTCTCATGTGTGTAATAGGTTGGGTCAAGCAACAAAGAGGTAGAGAGGAAAGAATAAGATTTAATTTTACATGCATTCTCCCTTCACTGCCATTGGAAAAAGATGAATGAGAAGAGAAATTATGCAATACAGGTGATGTCACTGTTAAATTAAATTAAGATATGTTTTTATGCAGCAATTGTAATCTTTCAGTTAAGGAAGAGATCATGATAATAGAGTACATTCCAAACAAGTATTAACAAATTGCTTGTGTTCATGAATAATTAGTAGTGCATACAACAACATTATTTACAATATTTTAAGCCAACTGTGGCTTATTTATTTACTTATTCACTTATTTATTTTATTTATTTATTTATTATTTATTTTATTTATTCACTTATTCGTGCATCCAAATTGTACTAAGAGTTTTCTTAGTGACCAAAGAAAACAACATTACAGTGCATTTCAGTGTATCATACCGAAATACTATGAATAAAAGGGATAAAATCTTAAGCTATTAATAGATTTTTGTAAAATCACATCCATCTTAAATAATCACTAACAAAATTTATATTTTGAATCAAGTAGTATCTCTTTATTTTTTGTGAGCTGCCAAAACATAGGGATTTTAATACATGTTATCTTTCTTTTTAATTTGTGATTATTGAGGAGTTTCAGACAACTATAAGTAGTGATCAAAAACTTGCTCTTATTACTACTAATTAAGAAAGAAATATGCAGGTTGGAAAACCTTAATTTTGTATTTGATATGGACACGGAAATCGCAAATCAAAAATCGAAATGTTTCATACATATACTGATTTTCTTTCCTGTCTCTCAGATTTTGAATACCTCTGTGAAAATCTTCACAGCACTGTGTGATTCAACTGGCCTAGGCAGAGCATATGAAGCTATAACCAAGATTCTGGTAAGGTAGGTTAGCACATCCTTGTCTTGCTGTCAGTGCACATTCATTCAACTGTGAAAGACTGAAATTGTTAGAGGTCTGTCGCTTCCCATTACTTACTGCTTAAATTTTAAGCAGTGCCCTTCTTGCAGTAAGTGACCCTTTCATCCAAAGTTGTTTTAAACAAATAGCATTTTTTAAAACTGTATGATCCAATGTTTTCTTTACCAGTAAGCTGTAACATGTTCCTTTTGTTGATATATATATATATATTTTTTTTTTTCCAAAACTTTGGAAGGGACCTTTCTGAAAAACAGATATCCAGTCATATTTTCCAGGTTAAATAAATAAATAAATAAATAAATAAATAAATAAATAAAAAGAGAACAGCTTTGAAAACTATAGCATGCTTCGGTAGGTGCCTTAGTGTAACCTTTGTAGAATTCATCCATAAGAGAAGTTTCCATTTATTGTTCTACCTCACTGCTTCTAGGGATTCGTTTGTGTTTTGTGCCTGTGCAGGTAAATCATTTGGTCAAATAACGTGTTTGTCTTCATTTTCATTTAACCAATTGACTTTAAAGTCTTATTCCAGGTGAATTACTTCAGTTTCTTACACAAATAATCTTGTCAGGTGACTTGTCATGTTGCCTCTCCTATCATATAGGAACAATCACAGTTCTCTTTAGCTGGTTGATATGTAATTAATTGCTATTCGTATTCTGTCCTTTCTGAACAAGCACACAGCATAAAAAGTTCCAAAGCCACAAAAGAGAAATAGAACACCAGGTCCCATTTTCAAAAATGGGTTAGGTTTAAGGTCCTAAGAAAGATTTAGTTGCTGGGACATCAGCTTTTGAAATTTCATAGTTGGCTCCCATGATACAATCACACCCTAGAAGTAAGGTACCTGAATCTCAGTAGCATTAATAGATTCCTTGCAGTTTTTCAAAAGCTGCACTCCGGGTAGAGGGTGACTTAAGATAACCAGAAGGAAAATCTAGAAAACGGCATATCTTAATTGCCCCACAATGGGATTTAGGCATTCTGAGGTAATATTACCTCCTCTACTCAGAACCTTCTAAAGCCAGATTTCTAATGCCTTTATCTGAAAGATCATGCAAGTGCAAATTCTTTCCTTAAAAGCACAGCTATAAAGGAATGGGTGGTGAGTTTTTTTCTGCATCAAATCTGTATGTCACACCATCTAGGAGCTTTCTCTAGCTCCCTGAGGTCAGACAGTCTCGCTCACTGCTTTCAGTTTGTTGCAGTCTGAAAAACAGGAAAAGCAGGAGTTGGGAGTCTAGTATGTAAGGGACTCTTTAGTTTAGTATATAATGCCTTCTCCAGGAGTTGGGCATTCTGACTGACTCAAGTGAAGGAGAGTCTCACACATCCTGAATGAGGGTTTTACCTACTGATCTCCTGCAGAGGTAAAGAGACAGCCATAAACTTTTCCTCTGTAAAATGCAGGTTGTGAAACCAATCTGGTAGAGAACCGCCCTGAGAACATTAACCAAATGTTAACCTTACATATTTATTAACCTTACATATTTGTCTGCCTTGAAATACTTTCAGATAAATATAAATTGCTCAGCCCTGTAAAACATCAGGCGATTTTCAGCATGTTTCAACCATTTGAGAAACTTTTATGTAGAAAAGCCTATGCATCTTAGGGCGTCTTTATTCTTACATTCAGTTAAGCAAAAAGATCAACTTCCGTAATTCTGCATTTATGTTCCAAAATGTTAATAACTGTCTCACGTTTGTGCATGCGAGCTTTATGTCTTCTTGAAGTTTAGTATGATCAGTGGTCATAGACACTCATGAAACTTTCATCCATTGTCTTCACGGGTCTCCTGTGTAAGGAGGTCTCGTGGATGGGGAGGTGCCAGTTTGTAAAATCCATCTATTGATTCTTTTAAGGTAAATTTGACAATTGCTTTCACTATCCAAGCACCAAAAGCAGCTAAGTAGACCTTAAAGTATCTTTGACATCAGAAAAAAAGCTCAGGATTCATGAGCATCATTTAAAATAGTCATGAATATGGTTTACATCTCGCCATATACGGGTCCTGATCAAGCTGTCCGATGTCATAATGAGGCCACTCTCAGTTACCCTTGACAAGTCAGGGCAAGGGAAGATTCCTGAGGACTGGAAAGAAGCAAATGTCTCTCCAGTATTCGACAAGGAGTATCTGGGGAACTACAGACCAGGCAACCTCACCTAATGTCCTGGGAAGGTGATAGAACAAATAAACCTAGAAGCAATTTCCAAATATTAAGAATTAAGAATATTAAGACTTGTAAAAGGGATATCCTGCTTCACCAACGTGATAGCCTTCTACAGTGCAAATATGAGCTTGGTGGGTGAGGGTAGAACAGTGGATGTTCACTTTAGCAAGGCTTCTGTTACTGTCTCTCATAACATCCTCATAGAAAAACTGAAGAAGTACAGGCTAGATAGATAAGCAAACAGTAAAGGAGCCCAAAAACTGATTGAGTTGCCACACTCAAAGGTTTGTGATCAGTGACATGAAGTCTAGCTGATGCCAGTCACTGTGTGTCACATGGATTGATACTGGGGTCAGTTCTGTTTAATCGTTCATCATTACTTGAATGATTGCGCAGAGTGCACCCTCAGCAAGTTTGCAGACAATACAAAATAGGGGGAGTGGCTGGTACATCACATGGTTGTGCTACTATTCGTATGGACCTTGACAGAGTGGAGTAATGAGCCAAGAGGAATTTCCTGAAGTTGAGGAAAGGGAAGTGCAAAGTCCTGCAGGTGGGGAGGAAAAACTGCACACACTAGAACAGTCTGGAGGATGACAGCAGTGAACAAGAAGTTGACCATGACCTAGAAATGTGCCCTTGTAGCAAAGGCCAAGAGCTTCCAGCAATGCATTAAACAGAGCGGTGCCCACAGGTTGAGGGAGATGATCCTTCCTCTCAACACAGTCCTGGTGAGACACATCTGGAGAGCTGGATCCAGGTCTGGGCTGTCCAGCACAAGACAGGCATGGACATACTGGAGTGAGACCAGCGAAAAGACATGAAGATGGTGGAGAAACTGGACCTTTTACTGTGTAAGGGAAGGCTGAAAGAGCTGGGACTGTTCAACGTGGAGAAGAGAAAGTTCAGGGAACGTGTTGGCAATGCACATAAATAAACATTTGCAAGAGACTAAAGAAGGAGCCAGACTCTTCCAAAAGATGCCCAGTGAGAGGACAAGCTACAGTGGACACAAACTGAAACACAGCAAATTCCATTTAAACATAAGAAAACTTTTTTTGTTGTTGTGATGTTGACTAAACACTGGAACAGGTTGCCTAGAGAGGTTGTGGAATCTGATCTTTCAAAAGCTATTCAAAACCTCATGGTTCTGCTCTAGTTGGCCTTGTTTGAGCAGGAGTGTCCAGATGATCTCCAGAGGTCCCTTTCAACCTTAACTATTCTGTGATCTTTGCCTTAAGCAGATAAATTCCCTTCTGACCTGTAATGCTCCCTAACAGAACGTTTTCTGTAACCCCCTGGGCATTTATTTCAGACAGATTTACTTTTCAAAGTTCTTTTTTTTTTTTTTCCTTAAGTAAGACTGTGCTGGTCCACTTTCTTTGGTTCTTCTTCAGCACTGAGGTAGGGGATAGAAAAGGTATAGCAAAGAAAAAGTGTGAAATGTCTATGTAAAAAAAGAATACTGCAAATTTTTATTTACTCTCATGCCAAACTTTGGGGTGCTCTCCTTGCTGACGTATAGCAAACAGGTCAGTTTCTGTCAAGCCCATTTAGAAAATACTGGATGAATGCATGAATGTTTACCTTTTGTGACACAGTCTCCATTCTCAGTTTGATCACTTTTTGATCATTCAACTAGTGCAAATCATTTTAAATTTGATGGTTGGTGCCCTTACGAAGAAAAAGAAAAGAAAAGATTACTTTGTTCCCTGGTTACTAAAATAGCACATTATAACCCTAATGTCTTGAGAATCTGTACTGATTGTCTGGTAACATGTTTGAGGAAGTGGTTGAACCCTTACATGATGGTTCAGAACTTGTCTATAGATTTGCAATTTTTTGTGAAGTCTTTGCTTCCACAGACCATGGGAAATGGTCCTGAAAATCCTTATCATATGCATTTAGGCCTATCATTTTCTAGGGAAAAATCTGACATAGAAACACCATGTTCTTGACATATTCTGGCAATGTCCGCCATGTCAATGACTTCTTGTGGACACATGATTTATACATCCAATTCAAGCACATGAGCAATCCTATAAAAAGTGCATATTTTCATATAATAAGCGTCTAATAAGGGTAAAATGAAATTTCCTAAAGATACAGGAAATGAGCTCCTAAAGATACAGGAAATGAGTTCATTTTATCCTGAATCTGGAAAATGAGCTGCTTTAGATTTGAAATCTCTTCTGCTGAAGCCATCATAACTGGTCTGTGTCATCATGGATGACTGTATCTTTAGGAAATTTCATTTTACATACCTAGGAAGATGTTATCTAACGATAGAAAGTGCTTCACTGCATAAAATAACATGTAGATTTTGGAGGAATTGTACAATACTAGTTCTTTGAGTAGGAAAGACCTGTTTTCAAGGTATCAGGATTTGTGCAGGATAAAGTATGCCAGTAATCTTTCTAGTATACTTTAAATATCTCAAGCTGTAGTGCTTTCTAGTATTTCTTTTGAAAAATTGTACTTTAGCAGCTGATTTCTAGTTGGCATAAGGGAAGTTCTAATACTGAGAATTATCTTTCTAATACATGTCAAATTGGTTTCTTTTTGCTTGGGAGACATTATATGCCCTAGCAATTTTCATGTTTTCTGTAAGGTTTTTATGTAAAATATAAAAAATGGCCAAAATACATCAAAACATTTCTATTAATTCATGAAATGAGGAAAACCTTTTACATTTTCTTCTATCGCTGATTCCATTTGCTTTATTACTTTCAGCCTCTAGCCCACAAACTTGGTGGCACAATCAACAAACCCCTTAGTGGCTGTTTCATCTCTCCTCTATTTGATTTCTCCACTCTGAGTAAATGATTAAGTTTTCATGCATTGGTTCAACCAAAATCTATGTTCACTCAACCACGTCCTTTATTGATTACTTCTACTGCAAACAGTAGGCCAAGTGTGATATACATAATTGGACAGTTGTCAGGGGATGTGGGTGTTAACAGTCCTGTTTTCCCAATTGGAAACTGGAATCACCTTGATACACAAATATTCTGCACTGTTTCATTCTCATTCCTTGGACCGAGGAGTCCTTTTCCTCAGAATATATGTTTTTAACTCTCTGAGGTCTGGTTGAATGGATTTAATGATTATACGATATAATACGCTCTTCAAGTTGCACCTGTGCACTGCATATAGAAAACTAGAAAAACTGGAATTAATATTTGTCTAACACTTTAACCTTGTCCCTTAACTTATATAAATCATATGCTGTATTTCTGTGGGGAAACATTTGATTTTCTCTCCTTAGGAAAAACCAGGTTTAAAAAAAAATGTGTTTTCTAATTTTGAAATTTAGAATTCTTTTAACAGCTGGCCAATGTTTACAATACAGTATATTTCATATTCTCATGATATTGAAGTATTTGTATTAGGAAATGTTACTAACTCCAACTCTGTTTGTTAACAACTAAGCTTTAAAGCAAGACATACTTGAACATTTAAGGCATGTTAATTTTCCGGTGTTTTGGCATCCTTTTTGTAGTAATCTAGCTCACTTCAGTCACATAATCACTGCAATATTGTGAATTTGCAGGGATGCTTTACTGTGTTTGCTTTTCTGTGGCAGGCTCTTTACTGTTATGATTACTCTGATTCCACAAGACAATTACCACAGCAGACAATCTTGCCAAAGTTTAAAAACATGGACCTCTAATATAGTTTACAGTAAGAGCTGTAATTTAAACAAACACATCAATCATTTGCTTGAAGGTGTTTTAAAATAGCAAGAGAATAAATCACAACTCTTTATCACTTGTGAACTTCTATTTCTGTGAGTTTCTTCATTAAGACTGGATTTTCTGTTTTGTTTGATGGTTTGACATGTAGCATTCTGCTCTCCTGCCTTAGAGACTCAAGTTCATGGCTAATATCGAGGTCAGCTGCAGTTACACTTCAGCCTAAAAGAAAAAAGTGTAGTGCCTCACTCACAAGCAAATCCAAATGCCTATCCTGTATCTTCCAACTATACTGTAGAGACCTCATATTGCTAAAATGACCGGCTTTATTAAAAAAAGGGTATGTGCAAATGTTACTGTCAAAGTACATTAGCCAATTTTTAACTTAGACTAGATGTGACCTGAGGTTGCTCCAGTCTCAGTGGGATTTGGAGGTGACACTTGCAAACCAGAGATTATAGGTTTGCCAGTGTGACTCCAGCAACCTGTGATTTGTCCAGCCAAAATGCAGTGTTGCATCCAGGAGCAGCCTGTGATCCTTAGACTTCAGAGGCAGCACCATTGTACAGCCGTTGCTGCACCACCCAGAATCTGGAGCAAGAAATGACACCTCTAAATGATACGTGCAGCGACAGTCTTGCTGCCAGACTAGCATTCTTGCTTCTTTCTCTTCGTTTTCTCAGGAAGTAAAGTCCAGTTGTATTGAGAAAGTTAACAGCTACTCATTAGGAAAAATACTAAAATAATAGAAACTCCAAAAACTCTGTAAATTCATCATCTGCATTTTCATTTTTTGGCCCTAAAATACAGCACAATATTTTGAAGAAGAGTTTTGTTTTATTTCACTCAAAGGATCCAATTCTGCCCTTGGGGATTATGGCTCAGGAATTGAACTGTGCAATGGCTTCAGGCACTGAACTGAAGAGGGACTGCTTAGACAGCTATATTAGAAGTAGTCCAAATTTCATCACAAAACAGATTAGTCATCACAAAGTAAAGCTATATGGAATAAGTTGTCAGATTTTTGGCATTTCGGAGAAACCGTCTGAATATATAATTTTATCCTTTGTCATTTGTTTCAGTCAAGGAAAAGTGGCTGAAACTGTTACACACTTGGAAGAGTTTGTGAAGGTTGCTGAGAATGCTCATCTCAGCCGAAGCCTGGTGGATGCGTGTGTGTTACTTGGGAATCTTTGCAATGAAAGAGTGAGTACTGGTTACAGTAATAATGCCAAGCAATTGGGCTTCATTCATGGTAAAAATCTGTGTTTGCATATGAGGTGAATTTGATATAGGGATCGGATTTTACAAGAGTTACCAAAGGAGAAAACACTCGGACATTTCTAAATTAAATTTATGAAATGTGCCTTACGTTTTTGGATAAGGTGAAAATATCAAGCCAAATTTCATCCTAAGGGTTTTATTCTAGAAGGGGTCAAGTGAAAACCTCAAATTCAGGTCATAAATGAAAGTTTCAGTGTTGTGAAATATGTGGGTCCAATTCACATCTGTGCCCATAAAGAGTTTAACACAACTATTTATAGTGTATTACAGCGTATGTTGAAACCAGCGCTTTTTTTTAGAATGGATATATGCTATACTGCATACTAAATAATAGTTTTCTTCTCTGCATTCAGTCAGCCAAATTTATAAGTAGATGCAAATAGCAAATAGTTTGGCAAAGGTCTGTCAGTAGCACAAGGGCTTACTTTCCTTTGCTCCTCCATCCAACTTCTTGGCTTCAATTGGGCTGTTAAATCAGAAGATAGACAATGACAGAGAGTCACAGCTAGGAGTACCCAAGAAATTCCCCTTTTCATAGTCCCTAAGATCTTTTGAAGTACTTTCTGTCCTGTGCATCACTCTCTGACTTGTCCTTCTGGGGAGAAACGTGCAAAGGTCACAGTTCTGTTGGCTGCCTTGCTGGGTAACAGGTCTTGTACTCCATGCTGCTCACACGCATGTCCAGGCATGCAGCAGTTGCAGTTGGTGCTCGAATCAAATCAGGAGTGTGAAAAACATTACTGCAAATGCAAAAGATATATGTTGAGCCCTTTATCTTCAACAGCTGTTTTAGAGTTAAATGCTGCATGAAATTATTTAGGACTTCAGCCTGGAAAATTTGGGAACTAGGAAATACCTTAGCTGTGAATAAAAAGTAAGAAGATAGAAATATATTTTCTAAATCATGATCAGTATTTCCAAGTTGGATTTTTCATGTTATTTGAAAAATGCCAGTTATCAATGTTTGTGTTTGCATACTGGCAACAAGCAACAGTGAATATCACATTTTCTAATTTCTAAGTGCTAGATTTTGTTATCTAAATCATTTTATCAAATTTTCTGTGTGTAATATATTAAATAGGCAAGTCATCCTCTTCTGGTTATGCAATGTCCAAATACCTCTTCATCTTCAGAATTCATCCTACATGGAACTCCCAGGGCCAAAGTTACTGACCTTTTTTTGTTGCATGAGCAGTAGAAAAATCATTGATGCTGTATTCTCCAAATTAGCCTGGGATCTTTGAGTTTATGTATTCCCTAGCAGAAAACTCTGGATTTTCCACTGAAAACTTAAGTTTGAAAGTTTAAAAATTTGCTGAAGTAACGTTAAACTGTATATGGGACTTAGAATAGAGTTGGATGGTGTGACACAGTGCTTAAATATCCTATTCCAATTTTGAAAATACTTCACTCTTTTTTTTAACTGTTGTTATATTTCACTGTTTCTTGCTTCCAGTATTGATAATCAGTTACATTAGTAGTGGTATTTTAAGAATTGGCCTCTTTTGGGTTGTTCTCTGAATATTGTTTCTTCCTTCAGAATTTACAGTCTTGACCTGGGATAGTGCAGAAGGGAAGAAATGTAG